TGTGAAGGTGATCAGCATGGTGAGACCGTGCCTTGATGAATTCCAAAATGTTCTATAGCCTTCTTTATTTGCCTCAATCTGCTGGACCAAAGGGTACATTAGGGGACCAAAGGCTTGAAAGAACAAGTCCAGAAACAAATAAGTGTAGGTCGGGCCCTTAAAGGGTCCCCAATAATTCAGCAACACTGTTAGAACAACCTCCACTCCCTACTATCGCCTCAAAACTAAGCCCTTTAGCCCCATTCTAATTACCCCTTTTGAACAGCCATCTGGATTAACCTTGACCAACACTCGTTCGAAAAACAGCAAGTTTCTCATGAAGGGGCGAATAAAATAAAATCCAGGCAAAGGAATTGTAAATATATTTAGCCTTCTTTGTTTGCCTTCCAAAGATGCTTTTGCATGCAGTTAAGTTATATGGTATGCAATCCAGCAAAAACAACTATGATAAACTCCTTTTTTTCCAGAAAATAAAACACTACCATCTTTTCTCACTTGATACTACAATCAATAAAATTTATTTACTCCTTTAGTTACTCAAACAAAATTTGGAGATACGTTTGGACTTTTTGATGGGCTCCATATGAAACAAGAATTACTGAATGATCATAGACTGTTATGGAGTCTTTGAGAACCATCAAATTATATCTTTGATTTTTCATGTTTTTAGGGTCATCAATTATAAAAATATGTACCTATTTAGATAATCCATTGTGGAGTAGAAATGTTGGACTCCTTTATCTGAGGTCTGATTATATTGGTGCCCATTTGATTTGTACTCGCATGGCCATGTTACAGGTGTGAGGATGATTCCCTTCCAAGTATCTCTTGGGTTCTTGAGCTCGCACAAGCAGCAGTACTTAGGCATGGGGTGCGTGGACTTGTAATTGATCCTTACAATGAGCTTGATCATCAACGTCCCCCGAATCAGTGAGTTTTTTCATTACATCTCCAATGTTGCTGTTTTACTTGTGAACCAGCGCAATGTAGTCCCTGAATTTTTACTTTGAAGTTTTCACTATATTAAGCTCTTCATTAGTTCTAACTTTTGGGAAATTATTGTCCATTATAAAATAGTAGACATTTAAGGAATTAGTTTTTTTTTTATACAAGCGATGTTGGGGAAGGGGATCGAACACAGGACCTCGGGTGTAGGGGTAAATGCTCTTAACATCTTGAGCTACAAGCCCCTTGCTAAGAAATTAAGTTATTGACATAATGGAAAATGACAGATTTTTATTTTATTCTTTGACCTGTAGTGTAGGCATTGGTGATTTTAGCTGCAGATCCTCATTGTTTTGGATCTTATTGCATTTTTTTATACAAGCGATGTTGGGGGAAGGGGATCGAACACAGGACCTCGGGTGTAGGGGTAAATGCTCTTAACATCTTGAGCTACAAGCCCCTTGCTAAGAAATTAAGTTATTGACATAATGGAAAATGACAGATTTTTATTTTATTCTTTGACCTGTAGTGTAGGCATTGGTGATTTTAGCTGCAGATCCTCATTGTTTTGGATCTTATTGCTTGTTCTTTGGTTGATTTTGTACTGACTTTTGCCCTTTAATCTATGCGTATTCTGCTTAGCATTAATATTTATATTTTTTTTTCTTGATGAAGAAACATAGAATAATGTGAGAAGCCGACCTGTTCAAAAGTTCTAGGAGTGATCATGTCTTATTTTATAGGGATCTCTTATCATGCTTGCTAACGCTGCCCTTTGTATTCCTTGTATTTTAGTTGAATGTCCTAATTCTTCAATTTTTTTTTCACTTACAAGAAGATTGCTAATAATTGTAAACAGGACAGAAACAGAGTACGTAAGTCAGATGCTTACCAAGGTCAAACGGTTTGCTCAGCATCATTGTTGCCATGTTTGGTTTGTGGCACATCCGAGACAGGTTGGTTACTTTGACCTTGATCATGCTTTTTTTTTTTTTTCATTTGGTTTGTCTAATTGTACCCCTTGTAACACCCTTGTAACAGTTGCACCAGTGGGTTGGGGGTCCCCCTAATCTCTATGATATAAGTGGAAGTGCACACTTCATAAATAAATGTGACAATGGAATTGTAATTCATCGTAATCGGGATCCAGGGGCTGGTGACTTGGATCAAGTACAAGTGAGTATTGTACCTAGAATTTCTATACACAAAATTCAATTATCATCTTTATTTCCATATAAAACTGCCACCACCAGCATGTCATGACCACTTTCATTATTATTATTTTTGTTATTATTGTCATTGTTGTGATTGATGTTAAATGTTGCTATCATTTTGCAAACTTTGCAACTCAGGTTTGTGTTCGGAAAGTACGGAATAAAGTTGCAGGAACGATAGGTGACGCTTATTTGACATACGATAGGTATGTTAAAACTTTAAGCATTTTGGTGTTAGAGATCCAAAAGTTTCATTACGAATATATAAAAGTTAGTCATGAAATGTTAATGCTTTGAGTAACTCTTATACTGAGTAAGAAAGAATTATTCAATATAAGAGTCACTCGTGAAATATCATTTCAATTATACATCAAAGTTGTCTCCTCATCATAAAATAAAATGACAATATATATAGAAGAACAGTGGTTCTCAGGCATATTTTGATGTCTACTAGAAGGCTTTGAGGTTATTGTTCCACTTAATCATTTCTTAGTTTCTTATTTACATAATTATACTGTTCCCTTTCCCTCCCCACTATATGCGTGAAAGTTAAAGTTCGGAATGTAGATGATGTTTTCAATGTTGTGCTTGAGCAGGGCAACTGGTCAATTTAAGGATATTGGTATTGAAAAGAGCACATGAGGAGAAACAGGGAATTATGTGATCAACTCTGAACATCCTTGTACAGTGGAATCTAGTATATAGCATGTTGGGGTGTCTGGTGAGTTTCCTGATGCCCTATGGGAGTTTTCATGTCGCGAAACAGCATGGTCGTGATCCGTGACAAAGAAGGAAACCGCATCGAACCACACATGAGGGTTTACCATCAAATTTTGTATGCTTTCCTCATTGGAGATGTAGATTTAGTGATGTATTCAACAATGTAGAAGATTCAAACTGAATTATGTGTTCTATTCCGACATCAGGATTCTTAATTTTGTATTTAATATATTTTTTTTTCTCAGCCATTAGAGATGTGGCCGTTTCACCTTTGTTTGCTGTGGTTGGAAAAAGTGGTAGATGAAATGAGCATATTTTGGGGTGACGCTGGAAGCAACCTTTCAGCCTTTCCTATTAGTAAGAGCTGTTGTACGTGATTGGCTGTCGACCGTTGATTAAAGTGAGTCTCACAATACATTAACGACTTGACAGCCACCACAACCATGCAGGGGATTGGCAATTGGATTTCTCAAATAATACAGTGTGGGCCAATAGTATTACCCTAATAAGCACTCCAAGAATTCTTAAGCATACATGAGATTGATTCCAATCAAGAAGAACCAAATTATTTGTATTACCGACGGTTAGGATTAATTATCAATTAATCGACCGTATCACCCTAAACAAATTCACTTACCACATGGAGCTGCGGCTTAATCAACTAGTCATGAGACTCGAGGCCCACGCCAAATAAGGTGGTGGACCTCACTAACCAATGATAGCTTGCCAGACGGTGTGCCTTAAAAGAGAATTTTACAGGAAATTCAGGAAATCGTTTCTTAAATAAATACAAGACACAAAACATTAAGAGTGCTGCTAAACGAACCCTAAAATTAACTGAGTACACCCTATAATCTAAGTACACCCTAATATTTAAATCAAAATATAAAATTAACCAAGCACACCCTATTTAATCACCAAAAATACCCCTATACACTCTATCACACAACACCAAACCTAATGCCTCCTCTGCAGCTGGAGATGATTTTATTGAAGATATTACAACCATTGTAAGTTGTTTTGGATTTGTTTTCCGATCTCTAGTTATTACTGGATGAATTTAAAATTAACCTACTACCCTTTGAAATTTCTACATAGCCATTCAATGCTCATACTGGTCGTCTAAATCTGTTCCGTAAGTCTCTATTTTTAATTACTCTTCCTTCTTCCTTTTTGTAGTTCCAGAACCAAATAATAAATAGAAAAAAAGAAAAAAGAAACCAAGAGAATGTTCTAAGTTTGAAGGGCTCAACTTTCATCCAATAAATTATTTATTTATTTTTCCTCCTCGTATGAATCATCCACAACCCCTTAAAGAACCTGTCGGAGTGGACTCCATGGAGCATGTATCCGCTAGAGTGTTATCTACCACCAATGACCAAGATCTGTATCAAACAAACAACTTCATAGCATTTGCTTGCGTTTGATTAGGGTTGAATATAGTGCGTAGGGTGTACTTATTAAAATAATTTGTTTCATAATTCAATATATCCATTTTGGTCATTTTATATTAGGATAAATTAGTAATTCAATAAATAGTTTGATAGTAGGGTGTACTCAGTTAATTTTAGGGTTCATTTAGCAGCACTCAACATTAATTATCATAATATAATTAATTCACTAATCTTTTTTTGTTAATAAATTAGATCTTCATTTTTAAAATACTAATGACAGTTATAAGAAATATGAACTTTACAAGGAAAGAAAAATCTAGCTGTCCACAAAAACAAACAAAAAGAAAATTAAAAATAATAAAAACGCCAGTTGGCAGTGATGATATGAAATCAATGTCTATTGTGCTAATGTCTGTCCCAGCGACGAATTGGTCAAACGAAAAATATTCTTCTTTCTTCTCTGACTTCTGCAGCCATGAGCCAATGAAACGGTAGGCGTGTAGTTAAGGTATTTGAGATTGAGCACACAGGATCTTTCTCTCTGGCAAACGCAGAGCTGTGGGCCCCAAAAGTGATTCTGTAACGTCAAATCTTTGCTGGCTTCCAGGCTATCAAAACCCTCGGAACAAGAATCCACCAACGGCTCTCCTGTGCGGTGGCTTACAGATATGCGACCGTTGGTGGGCTCCACCACCACCCTTCGAGTTTTTCGAAAATATATAGCCGTTACAACTCCTTCCCAAATCCCAAGCAAGCCCAACTCTCTCTCCCTCTCTCTCTCGCTCTTAAACACCACAAGCTCACAACCCCTTCTGCTCAATCCCTCATTAGAATTTTCTCTTGCTCCAAACAAAGCAAGCAACTTTCTTCCCTCTTGTTTCTTGGTTTTCTTTCTCTCCCACATTTTTCTTGGTCGATTGAGAAAATGACTGTTGAGGTTAAGGTTGAGGAGACCCTTGTGGCTGAAGTTGGGGTTGTTCCTCAGGAGGAGCCCATGAAGCCTGTGATTGAGAATGAGAAAGTTGTTGAAGGAGATGATAAGGTGAAGGAAGTGGCAGAGTCTGAATCCAAGCCCAGAGCAGTTGAGAAGAGCTCTTCTTATAAGGAAGAGAGCAACTTTCTCTCTGATCTGAAAGAGTTTGAGAGGAAGGCTTTGAGTGAGCTCAAATTAAAGCTAGAAGAAGCCATTTTGGGCAACAATATCTTCAAGAAGGAGGAGCCAATGAAGAATGAGGGGAAGGATAAAAAAGTAGCAGAGGAGGAAGAGAAGAAGGAAGAGAAGAAGGAAGAGAAGGAAGAGAAGAAGGAAGAGAAAGCAGAGGAGGTTGATGAAAAAAAGACAGAGGAAGGAGATGAAGTCCCAGTAGCTGAAGAGAAAGAAGCAGCAGCCCAAGAAGGTGAGGAAGAGAAGAAGCCTGAAGAGGGGTGCGAAGAAGTAGACAAGGATATCTCTCTTTGGGGGGTGCCCCTTTTCCCCGGGAAAGGGTTTGAAGGCACTGATGTGGTGCTCTTGAAGTTCTTGAGGGCTAGGGAGTTCAAGGTCAATGAATCATTTGAGATGCTGAAGAAAACCCTTCAATGGAGGAAGGAGTCTAAGATTGATTCAATTGTGGATGAGGATATCTGTGCTGATCTGAGCTCTGCTGCTTACTTGAATGGCGTTGATCGCGAAGGCCACCCTGTGTGCTACAACATTTTTGGGGTGTTTGATAACGAGGAGCTTTATCAGAAAACTTTTGGAAATGAGGAGAAGAGAGGGCAGTTCTTGAGGTGGAGGCTTCAGTTGATGGAGAAGAGCATTCAGAAGCTTGATTTGAGGCCTGGTGGTGCTTCTTCTTTGCTTCAAATCAATGACCTCAAGAACTCACCTGGACCTGTCAAGAAGGAGCTTAGAATTGCCACAAAGCAAGCTGTTGGGCTTCTGCAGGACAACTACCCTGAGTTAGTTGCCAAAAATGTAAGTCTTTTTACAATGTTTACTTCAGAAATTGACTTCATTTGGCTAAAATGTATGGAGGAATTGATGGGTTGTTTATGTTTTTTGATTTGCAGATTTTCATAAATGTTCCATTCTGGTACTATGCACTCAATGCCCTGTTATCTCCTTTCTTGACTCAAAGAACCAAGAGCAAGTTTGTGGTTGCTCGCCCAGCTAAGGTCACTGAGACCCTTCTCAAGTAAGTAACATCTCTACATTTTTACCTACCAAAACTCTCATATTGACTCCATTAGAAGCGCTTACCCAAGTGAACTTTGATTGTCAATTTCAGGTACATTCCAGCTCAGGAGATACCATCTCAATATGGTGGCTTCAAAAGGGAAAATGACACTGAGTTCTCCTCTGAAGATTGTGCTGTTTCGGAACTAATTCTTAGGGCTGGATCCACTGGAACCATTCAGATAGATGCAGCTGAGGTACAAATAATAAAATGCTATTGATTTTTGTTAGATTGTTCCTCTTGGGATTTCCCCCAAGTATTGGTTGTGATGGTGTTTTTGATAACAGGCTGATAACACATTAGTCTGGGACCTGGCTGTTTTGGGTTGGGAAGTGAATTACAAGGAGGAGTTTGTTCCTACTGATGAGGGCTCTTACACCATTATTGTTCAGAAGAGAAAGAAAATAGGCTCCAATAATGAAGGGCCTATCCGCAACACTTTCAGAAGCAATGAACCAGGGAAGGTTGTTCTTACAATTGAGAACACTTCAAGCAAGAAGAAGAGGGTTCTGTACCGGTACAAGGCAAAGAAGTGCTCCACCTTCTGAGAGTTCAACTGTGAAAGGTTGCTGCAAAAATTGTTTGAGAGGGCATTATATACATAATTAGAGCTTATTCTTTTAGACTGGGGCAATAATTGAGTGAGGATAGAGAAATTAATAGTTCATTTTTTCGGTGTAATTTCATATGTTTTGATGTGAATCTTTTGCTTTGGGATTTCAATTTGGCAGACTTTGTGAGTGAAATATATTGGTTTATTCATTTGGAAAAAATATTTGTTAAGCTTGAATGTTTTTTCCTTTTCTAGTATTTACTTGCTTAGCAGAATTCAGTGATCAAAACCTCAATCATAGATGGGTCAAAACATCTTATGACAATGATAACTTAACTGGAAGTTTTTCACAAATGTAGGTGGAAAATTTTCAAAACAAAGAGATGGTTAATGAATTGACAACCTTTTTAAGGAGATGGTTAATGATTTGACAACCTTATGACAATGATCTATATCTATAGCTGACCTCACCAATTATTGATGTGTGAATCAACCTCTAACAAGATGTTTATCTCACAAAATGAACGACAATCCATCATTTGGAAAAAATATTTGTTAAGCTTGAATGTTTTTTCCTTTTCTAGTATTTACTTGCTTAGCAGAATTCAGTGATCAAAACCTCAATCATAGATGGGTCAAAACATCTTATGACAATGATAACTTAACTGGAAGTTTTTCACAAATGTAGGTGGAAAATTTTCAAAACAAAGAGATGGTTAATGAATTGACAACCTTTTTAAGGAGATGGTTAATGATTTGACAACCTTATGACAATGATCTATATCTATAGCTGACCTCACCAATTATTGATGTGTGAATCAACCTCTAACAAGATGTTTATCTCACAAAATGAACGACAATCCAATTATCATGTTTTTCATGATTAAGGCCTTTGACTGAGTGCCGAGTCAGCCTAGTCTACAATGACAACCTCACCACTTGAACTTGGTTGAATCTTACCAGCCTAAACCCTAATTCTTTCTAATTAAAACCAAATTAAGCTATTGTTAAACTCAAATTAAAAGGTAATTATGCAATTGAGCTATACTTTCGATAGTTGCTCACACGCGTGTCATCGTTTATGTATGAACTATAAAATAAGTGTATACGTGCGCTATAACTGATGCGTATACAAGTGACTGTCCTTAATTTTCCCTGTTGGAATCAAAAAAGGTGTTGTACGGATTTATATTGTTGATGTTACACACATCAAGTTCTTATGTGACGCAGAGGAGTTGTGGAGAATTGCGTTTTAACTTTTCCTTGTGTCTATGTAAAGTTAATTTGGTGGAAGATAGTCTACTTTTATTGAACGCGGGAGGATGCAGCTATTTTTGGCCATAAAGATTTCGTCTTCAACACAAACAACTTAATTTATATATAATTGAGGATATGTCTCCGACGTGCATTAACGGGGATTTGAAAACTATATGCACATATCACATCAAATCGAGGATTTCATGTTAATCAAGTATATGGTGCAGGTAAGGAGGATTTGAAAACTAGTGCACATATCACCATCAAATCGGATAAAGCATTTAAATGAGCTGAGTCAAGTTTACTACTAAGGTACTCAAGCTCGGGTCGAACTATAATCTTTGAGCTCAAGTTTGGTTCAAGTTTGAACAATGCTCGTATCTATGAACTTTGTTCAAATTTGAGTTCGAATTTGGTTCAACTTAGATTATTTCGTATCTACGAACTTTGTTCAAATTTGAGCTCGAATCTGGTTCAACTTAGATTATTTATAAATCTAGCTTGAACTTATGATTGACTCCACTTGTTTCTTTTACGGACGGAACTTGAACGAGCCAAAATCTTCGAGCTCAATGTGAGTCAATCCCAAACTTTAACAAGCCAATTTACAGACCAAAGTACCCTTATTTAATGATGTTTGCATGCTCTCATATATACGTACCTTGAGATCATATTTTTCTCTTTCTTTTTGGTGTGTACATATTTTGTCAACTTCTAGAAATTAGGCACACCATTTGAAATTCTTTTTGCACGCAACAATATTGGGATGTCCCAGCGGATCATTCCTTCATTGTAAAAGAGATAAGAACAACAAAATTAATACTAGTTTGCAGGCTGTCTATATTGCTTTCGAAATGAGCGTGGACTGTTTACCCATTCAATCAGGTAGGCATATGATTTTCTTTTTTAATTTGATAGAAAATGAGCTTCAATTTTTTTAGTAATAACGTGAAATTTTATTTTAATTTATTTATGCTCATCAGGTTTCAGTTTTACTCTAGTCCGTTGACTTGGGCCCAGTTTGGTTTTTAATTATATAAGTGAATGTCCCCGGTGTTCTTCTAGCCTGGTCTATTATAGGGTAGAGTTTGTTTGACTATTTTTGGTGTTTTGGTTTTTAATAAAATGGAAATGCAAAGGTGACCACTGACCAGAGTTACCACATGCCAGATAGAAAGATAAGAAACGAATCAAGCATCTTCCAACTATATGTTTCTTTTGGCTGAATTAAAGGTGTGTTGTGGTAAAAACTAGGAGTTTACTGGTAGCTAGCTAGTTTGGTACCAGAGCCAATATTATATAAGTCTAGCGGCTAAAAAAGCTTTCTTGTAACGGTGATAACACTGTTTTTCTATCCTCAGTCGATAATACAATGATATGTGGAAAAGTTAGCCCATATATTGTTGCGTTATTGATCAAGGATAGCGCTATCCTTGTTGCATGAGAGTTTTTCTCCTAGTGACTATCTTATACAAATGGTCCAAGTACTATCATACACTTGTGCCGACTGCACGTTGTATGCAATTATTTCTGCAGTCTAGCTAAAATGGTATAAATAAACAATACAAAAGGCAGGCTAATTATATAACTATATATAAATCTGTTCTTGCTTTGAATTTTCTCGCGGTCAAAATGGGAGGAGGTGACTTGTAAAATCTTCTTAATCTATTATTTGGAATTTGTCTTGGTCAAACTCTCTATCTCTATAAATCCCCACCCATAGAGATCATAAAACACAAACCAATAATCGCAAACCAAAATATTGCTACAAATGGCAATCCCAAGGCTTTCAAATCTCTTGCTGCTTTCAACTCTTTTTGTAATATCCATTTCTTGGCAAGCTTCAGCTTATTCAGCTCCTGAGAAGTTTGTTCAATGTCTTCTAAACCATTCCCAGCCCTCTCACCCCATCGGTCCAGCAATTTACACTCCCAACAATGCTTCCTACTCCTCCGTTTTGGAATCTTACATCCGAAACCTCAGATTCAACACATCTTCAACCCGAAAACCGTTCCTTATCCTCACTGCTTTGCATGAATCTCATGTGCAACTATCTGTCATTTGTGCTCAAATCCATAACTTGCAGATGAAAATTAGAAGCGGAGGCCACGATTACGAGGGTGTATCGTACGTGGCTGAAGTTCCATTCTTCATCCTCGACATGTTCAATCTTCGATCCATCAACGTAGACATAAAATCTGAGACTGCATGGGTGCAGGCTGGGGCTACTCTTGGTGAAGTTTACTACAGAATCGCTGAGAAAAGCAAAATTCATGGCTTTCCCGCTGGAGTTTGCCCTACAGTTGGCGTTGGAGGCCACATTAGTGGCGGTGGATATGGTAATATGATGAGAAAGTACGGCTTGTCAGTTGACAACGTAGTTGATGCACAAATTGTGGATGTGCATGGAAGACTTCTCGATCGAAAAGCCATGGGAGAAGATCTTTTTTGGGCCATTACAGGAGGTGGCGGAGCTAGCTTTGGAGTTGTGATTGCGTACAAGATTAATCTTGTACGTGTTCCAGAAATAGTTACTGTTTTCAGGGTTCCCAGAACCTTGGAACAAAATGCAACAGAGATCGTGTACCGTTGGCAATATGTTGCGGATAAGCTTGATGATGACTTGTTCATCAGGCTAACCATGGATATAGTAAATGGTAGTGGTGGAGAAAACAATAAGACTCTGAGGGCTTCATTTATTGGCATGTTTCTTGGAGACTCTGAGAGGCTTCTCTCTGTGATGAACAAGAGCTTCCCTGAATTGGGACTTAAGCAATCTGATTGCTTGGAAATGAGCTGGGTTGAATCTACCCTTTTCTGGACAAGCTTCCCAAATGGGACAGCTCCTGAAGCTTTGCTTTCTAGAATACCTCAAGTACTTACCCACTTGAAGAGGAAATCAGACTACGTCAAGAAACCGATTCCGAAAGCTGGCTTGAAGTGGATTTTTCAGAAGATGATAGAACTTGAGGCTCCAATGTTGACCTTTAACCCCTATGGTGGAAGAATGGGTGAGATTTCGGCATCTGCAACTCCGTTTCCTCACAGAGCTGGGAATCTTTGGAAGGTTCAGTATGCAACAAACTGGAACACAGAAGGGAGTGAGGCATCTGAATACTACATCGATTTGACAAGGAAGCTCCACATGTACATGACTCCCTTTGTTTCCAAGAATCCAAGGGAAGCCTTTTTCAACTATAAAGATCTTGACATCGGGATCAACCATAATGCCAATGGCAAGGCAAGCTATTTGGAAGGAAGAGTTTATGGTATCAAGTACTTCAAGGATAATTTCGATCGGTTGGTGCATGTTAAGACCAAGGTCGATCCAAAGAATTTCTTTAGGAATGAACAAAGTATCCCAACTCTTCCATACTAGGGAGGAAGTACAGCTATAGCTAGCTAGCATTGCGACCAAGGATTTGATTGATAGCTTGGGATTAAGTATGTACATCTTTGATTATATTTACCAAAGGAACTTATGTGTATTTACTTAATAAAGAAATAAAAAGAAAGAAAATTTATTCCAAAACTATGTTACATGGTTCAAAGATATTGCGTAGAAGATTGCAACTTGTAAGAAGAGTTTGATTATAACTCTTTCCTAAATTGGTTTATAGGATTTGACTTTTTTAACTAACTTTTCAAAATTTGCATTATATGTTGCAATTAAACACCCATTCGGGAATTAGAACCAAGGGCGGAACTACACTATGGCTTAGGTTGGGCTCTAGCCTAGTACAAAGTTAGGGAAAAAAGAAATTAATTAGTACAAATTTTCAAGCATTACACCACATATTTTACAAAAATTAGCCCAGCCTATCTAAGCAAAAATTAGCATATCATATCCAAGCAAATCTCCAATTAGCTGTACCTTAGAGATATCAAGTTTCAAGTTTGAGAAAATGAATAAAATTTTATTTAAATCTTTATCGG